AGTATTATATCCAATTGTAATGAGTGAAATAGAGACCAGTAAATGCAGGCAGGGAGTTGCATTGTAAATAGGATGGCTTAGGAAGGCCAAGCCTGACAGAGGAGAAGGAGGGAGCCATGAGGTTATCTGGGGCAAATAGAGTTCCAGATAGAGGAAGCTGCCAACGCAAAAACAAAAAGCAGCAAAGAGACCTGTGTGCTGGATAGGGAGAATAGAGGTCGACAATCCTTACTCCAAAATTCTAAAATCCAAAACCTCTGAAGAGTCCACTCATACTTATTCTCTGCCCTCTTTCACCTGCAAGTCTGTGTACAGGATCGTCCCTCCCCCGGAAGAGCATTCCATTGCCTTTTCCCTGGATAGAGTCTCTAGCCTACCCTGCCATCACAAAATCCTGAGCCCACCCTTGTCGCAGCATCTCTGTCTGCTCCCACACGCCCCAGTGCAAGTTCCTGGACCCAAGAGACACCAGGATCATTACTCTTCCATTAGTGTCATTATGATGGCTTAACCTGGGCAAAACCAAAAATCTGTCCCTAAAGGGATGGGACCAGTGTATTAGGACTCCAACAAATCTCCCTAAAAAATTTCTATAAATTTGAAGAGAAGCTTGGCCCCAGTAGTGACATCTAACAAGTTGAGATTAGTCCTCTTCTTAAAGGGAAGTAAACTGAATGAGGAGGCGGGATCCTGAGAGAAAAAGAGAAAGGGAATGAATAGGCCAATCGTGGTGGCTCACGCCTGTAATCCTAGCACTCTGGGAGGCTGAGGCAGGCGGATTGCTCAAGGTCAGGAGTTCAAAACCAGCCTGAGAGAGACCTCGTCTTCTCTACTATAAATAGAAAGAAATTAATTGGCCAACATATATATATATATATATATATATGTATATATATATATATATAATTAGCCGGGCATGGTGGCACATGCCTGTAGTCCCAGCTACTCGGGAGGCTGAGGCAGGAGGATTGCTTGAGCCCAGGAGTTTGAGGTTGCTGTGAGCTAGGCTGACGCCATGGCACTCACTCTAGCCTGGGCAACAAAGTGAGACTCTGTCTCAACAACAACAACAACAACAACAACAGAAAGGGAATGAATAAAGAGAAGGAAAAGTGGAGAGGAGAGGAAGGATGGAAAGGCATAAATCATAAGAGAAAAATATCCACGAGGTTATGGGCATCTCCCTTCCTGCAAGTTATCAATGAGTGGGAGGGAGGAGCTTCGCCCTTAACTCTTCCCTGTTCTCCTTCATTCGAAAAGTAGTCTTTGGAGAGTGCTGAGACTTTTGAATACTTAAGATTTTTCAACGATGCCAAACTCCCAAATTGAAAAGGAATCTAACGGATGGTTGGAAAAATCGAATTAAAAAAAAAAAAATTTAAGTGGGAAGCGGCCTCATTGGCTTTCATCTGGAAAATCGTCTGAAATAAAATAAATGGACAGTGTTTTTTGGGTTTTTTTTTTTTTTTTTTTTTTTAGTAGCTACACAGGAAAGTGTTCGGCCGCCTCGCGGCGACCGCCGGATGCTCCAAACCCAAGATCCTTGGCAGACAGGAAATGCCTTTGCCAGCTCCAAGGTCCCCTCTCCGCTGGCCTCTCCATTGTCTGGAGGATTCGTGTGCATCTGACTGAAGAGGTTTCCCGCCTGCAACAGCGAATCAAAGAGCTGTCTCGAAAAAAGAGACTCATTGGGACTTTCTAGCCTTTCTGGCTAACACTTGGCGCCAACTGGGCGCCAGGTATTGCTGCCTCCTCTCAGGTGAGCCTCCCGCCTGTGTAGGGACTGAGGCTGAGTGGGAATGCGCGTTTCGGTTTCCCGCGGCCCCAACCAGCAAGCGAGCAGCAGGACGGGCCATTTGCCTGGCTGCCAGCCCTGCTCGCACTCACGACGGGGTAATTCTGTTGAGAGAGGGCTCCCCACTGCCACATCTGAGCAGGCAGCTGCTCTTCTGTGGACCTCGGATCTCAGATATTTGGGTGGGTGGGAGGAGTCTCCAAAGTGCTTCTCATTTGGATTTAAGAACAATACCAAAAAAAAAAAAAATATGTATCAAGGGACAAAGTCTGATTAAACTTGCAAAGAGTCCATGTGGGATATCATAAAAACCCCAATGGGGACTAAAAAGTAAATGCCAGTACAACATGTGATTATTCAGACTACAAGATTCGAACTCCTAACCATTTAGAAGCATCCTGGGGGATTGGTGTTCCACCTTCTGTCCCATGTTGTCAGTAGTCACATAAATGTCCCCCCAATCACAGATGAAAAGGATCATTATTAGATCTTAAAGAAAAATCAAAAGGGTGAGCTTTTGAGTTCATGTCATCTTCCACTTGGCAATGGGAATTTTGGTAAGTGCATTCTGTCCCCAGAAAAATGCATTCCCCCAAGTCCAAATAAGTTTTGAATCCCTGTCCTGCCCCATTAACTAAGATGAATATTCACAGTAGTAAAACCACAAAAAAAAAAGCTTGTCAGAAATGTTGAAAGAGAATAGGTACTTTCACTATCAGAGATAGTTTCCTCTTTTCCCATAAGATGTCTTATCAGCTTTCACCCTGAGAAAACCATAAAAAGTTAGAAATGTTATGCAATAGTTCTCTAAATAAAATACTACAGAGCAGGCTAGTCATCCCTAAAATTGATGTTGTTTAAAGAGTCAAAGTACATCATCCAACAAAATCAATATCCTATTAAGTTAGAAAGGATTCTGAATATCAAAGACCAACGAACTGAATAACTTAAAGTATAAGTACATGACCCAGGGGATTAATCACACACTGTCATGGTGAAATTAGGGCAATTCTTCCAATCATTAACGTTTTGCTTACAAAAATGTGCTTTTCTGTTTGTCTTTCTGCTAAATGATAACCGTTTTCAAGTTGAATCTCCTGATAAAAAGAGTTAAAAACAAGACAGGAGTTGTGCTGTAAAGGTCATACATGCTGCTTCAACATGAAATAGCCAAAAGACAAACAAATGAAAAATGCCTGGATTGTAAGAAGAATTTGTAAATATTCATTGGCAATCTACAATTGGAACTTTGGAAAAGTTAATGCCCGCCTGTGTCCAGAGCATACTGTACCTCCTCCAGTTTACATGCTCTTGATTCTTAAGGACATGTTTGGATTTGGAATATGAGCCACTTGAAAAGAGTTAGGATAAGCTTTAAATTGGAAAACAGCCTCGTTTCAGGGAGTTGTCGACTTTCAAACAAGATTTCATCCCTCAAGTTTTCTAATGTTAGTCAATACATAAGCCTGTATTTCTCTGCTTAATAGTCATGATACAGTTACTCTCAAGAATAAACATTAACCAGGGGTTATCTCCAGAAGTGAAACACACACAGATTTCAGGATTACTTTGATTCAATATTAGGTCCACAAGCTATCTCATTCTCTAAAAATCTGATAGAAGCAGTCTCATTTTCAGACGAGACTGATTATGACCTTTGAAGCCTTGATATAACCTGTTAGGCAGGGTCTGGAGGTTGGACCCTGCAGCTGATGGGAAGGGAAATTCTCCCACTGGATGGCCACTTTGGGCACCAACATAAGGAGACATGTGGAGAAAGCAGAGCAAGAAAGACAAAGAGCATGAACTGAGCTGGGAATTTGGAAGCTGGAAGGGGCCATGGAGAAAAACCAACTACTAGACCATCTTCATTGTACAGATGAGAGAATTGAGGCCAAGGACTAAAACTCCAACCCAAATCGTCAAATTTCCAGATCTATCCACACCTCTCTGCTTAAGGACCAGTATTAATTTTCTCATAAATCTAAATTCACCTGCAACTCCAGGGGCCTTCTAGGAATCTAAGGAAGTAGAATATGACAACCTCCTGAGCACAATGACTTTTCACTCCACGTTTGTCTGGGGAGCCACAGCCCTGGTCTGCCAGGCCAGGGGTAGGGTCATTCCTTCACAGGCCCTCCCTGGAATTAGAGGCCTCCCTGGAGGCCAAGGCAAGAGGGAGAGATTTCTGGGCCTTTCTTCCCCCCCCCCCCAAGTCTCTGTCATTGTTTTCCTGGAATGTCAGAGACCTGATGGCTCAGCTAAGCAAGCAGTTGGATGCAGGCTGGCAATACCTCTCAGCCCCACACCAAGCTCTCCTTCTACCCGTTCTTTGACCCTGCGCCCTTTTCTGCTCAGCCACCAGACCTCACTTCCACCACCACCCTAGAAAGGCCCTGTCCCTCTGCTCTCCCTCTCAGCCCTGCACCCTTTGGCAGCCCCAGCCCCACACTGGCCGGAGCGACCTGGAGGGAAGGAAGCGGGTGGGGTAGGCGGGAGGAGTGCTGGTCCCACCTGCTTCTCCCACACAAGAGCACTTCGATCAGCGCTTCTCACAGCACTGGCCGCCCGGCCAGCCGCTTTGGCATCGCCCCAGCACTTGTTCGAAATGCAAATTCCCTGCCCCAGCCCAGAGCTACCAAAATCAGAACTCTAGGAATGGGGCTGGCAATGATTTCAAGAAGCCCTGCAGGTGAGTCTGGAGCTCGCAGAGTTCGAGAACCACCGCCTCAGCGCGAACTGTGTCCCCGCTCCTCCCCGGCAGGGTCCCCATCCCCCCGTGCGGATCCCCCCGGCCCGGGCCCCGCCGCGCGGAGCCGGCTCCTGAGCCTCGGCCACCGAGGCATGACGCGGTGTTGACTCACGCCGGTCAAGGACGGCGGCCCCGGCCAGCGCGGCGGCCGAGGCGGATCGATGGGGCCCTGGCGGCCCGCGCTCTGCCGCGCAGCCGGCTCCGCCCGGGCTCCTCCCGCCGCCTGGCACGCCCGGGGCTCGAACCTGCCCCGCTCGGGGTCCGCCCCCGGCCCCACCCCACCCCGGCAAAGGCCCCAGTCCGAGTTCCAGCCGGCCGCGCCCGGATCCGGGCTCCCGGGGCGCCGAGAGCAAGAGCCCCAAGAGCCCCAGCGCCCAGCACCGCGCCAGGCACCCAGGAGGCGCTCTGGGAGAAGTTGTGTCAGGGTTTTTAAAATCAAAGAATGAGGCGTCCGACGAGGTCAGTCGTCCCACGGACGGATTTATTTTATAGACAAGTTACTCATTTAAAAAAAATTGGCCTTTTTTTTTTTTTTTACAGGGAACAATTCTATTTACACACGTTATAAACATTGAGATACAGCACAATATCTACACTCTCCTTGCATTTAATTAGCCTGCGACTTCTAGTTCATCTGAGATTATTTTTGTCACCGATGAGTCAGTTAGTTCTCTGCTTGGACTGTACTATCATCCCTTAACACCTTGGTCAAACAGGTACTAAGTGACAGTGCAAAACAAGCATTTAAGAGTCTTACCATATCTCTCTACGCCCCATCTCTCCCTCTGACAAAAAGGATACGTAACCCCAGTTCAAGAGCTCTGAAATGGTTTTGCATTTAAGGCAACAGTGTCAGAGTGTCATATAAAACTAAAGAATGTTTCCTTTTAAAATATTCCCAGGCTGCCTGAAATGTGGGCCCCTTTCCAAGGCACACCTCTGGATTTGGGGTGCCCCTTTGTTTCTCCATTAAGTGAGATGTAGATACAGATTATAGAAAAGTCATTTGAGAAGATCCTATTAAAACCTTTAAAGTTATAATTTAAAATTTAACAACACAGTTCAGAATTACCTTTCATAAATAGAAATAACAACTTACTTTTTTAAAAAGGGGGTGAATTTAACCACTGTGAATAAAAGTCACTTTATTCAAGTGACACAGAGGCTTTCTTTAAAAAAAAAAAAAAGTTACTTTATCAAAACAACCTAAAGTCAACATTCAGGTTTCATTGTGGGTTTCTTAATTACCCAGTACGCCAAATATTTTAGGTTTCCAGAACATCAGAAAATTAGTTCCCTTTTCATATAGCTTTTCAGTTCTTCTAAGAAGATTTTCTGTAGCAAAATGTCATTTCCAAGTCCATGCCAATGCCAGCGGTCATCATCCAGCATTAAAATAGCCTTTATCACCTTCAATGTCCACTTCCTGATCTGAATCCTCTGAAATCTCTGATTCAAGGTCTTCCTGGGAGGCAGGGGAGGGCGAACATTGAGAGCTATCCAAAGAAGCACCTTTATTCTGCTCACTGGGCAAGTCTTGCCTCTGATCGCAGGGATTGTCTAAACTTTCCAGTTCTTCTTTTTTATTGCTTTGAGGGTTCTCCTGAATAAAGGAAATGAAAATGGAGATTGGTAGGATCATGAAATACGGAGGTAAGAGACATAAATCAAAATGTCTTTTCATCCTGCACTAGCCTTTTAATTTTTACTTTATCAAGTATTTTCATCTATAATCTTTTTATTCAGAAAATACGTACGTGTGCTTCTTTCTCACTTTGGAAAAAGAGAAAAGTTCCTATCACATCAGAGAAAGATTACATGCTTACCAGGTAAGTATCAGTCATGAGAATAAGTGTAAATGTATTATATCAATTGAATACCAATTCCGGTATTGTTTGAGACCCATTGTTTCAATATTCTTAAAAGTGTAAGGGGGAAAGAAAATCAGATCAGTACAGATATATCCTATCTTCATTCTTTAAATATTTTAAACCTTGCCAGCTAACAGGTCTTCTAGACATTTTAAGAATAAGAATGCTAAATGATGAATTAAAAAGAAAGTTTTCAAAATTATTAGAGTGTATCCTTTTTCATTCATTTTCTGGAGTAAATTTATAAACATCTACCTGCAAAATCACCACAAAGAAAAAATGCAGAACTGGAAAAATGTTGCCAACTGAGAAGGGAGACAATTAACTATAATTTACATAAAATCTGGAGTAAATTTCTAGAAATTATTCCTATAGTACATAAAAACCACTATTTTAAAAGTCCCAGTTTACATAAAGTCAAGCCTTTGACCAAGAACCAAATGAGTCAGTGAATTTTTGATCCAGTGCTTGCCTAAAATGGACAGAAACACTACTTAGAAACATTACAATATACTATTTTTTTAAAAAAACAAGACTATAGAATAATATATTCACTAGGCATATAATTATGTAACAAATAGATGTACAAGGTCAGAAATGGACAGGGAATCTGCAAATATTAAATTTTGTCACAGTAATGAAATTACAGGAATTTTATTTTCTGTTTCAAAATGTTCTTTCTTTGGGATACCATTTGTTTTTACTGAAAAACTAATCTTCAATAAATTTTAAAATATACATTGCTTTAAACTTCCCTAATTGTTTTAAAAATGTTTTTATTAAATATATATGTTGGCAAATGACAATTTAGAAACTATCAGACAACTTTGGAGAATCATGTTCAGAGTAGGACATCAAAAATGAATCTTTAGCTTTACGTCAATAGAGCTTCTTTAAAAAGCTAAATTACTGTTAGCCTTTACTTTTTATCACATGTTGCGTAACAAGGTCATTGGAGGGAAGACTGTTAGAAAGTTTAAGCTACTTTCCAAACAGGCTTGGATATTTTTTCACATGTTTTATATTTCATTTTAGGAACTAGCACTAGATAGAAAATAATTTTTAAACTCTTTGATATTTAATTCTTCTAAAAAACAGTGCAAACAAGACTTAAAGGTGTTTGTTTCCTTATATTTACCCTTGAGTACTGCCTGGTTTTATTATGGCTGTGTAAATAAAAGAAACAATTTTCTCCCAAAGATAACTGCTTAAGTCATTTACTGTCAATTACTTTATCTTTCCTGCGTTAATTAGATAAACAACATATGGGATTTATAAAACAATTAGCCAGGAGTTTTACTAGCCAGTGTGTGAAAACTCAGGCATAATTGATATAGGAACTGCATTAGGTGCTTTTAGCATTACTGCCACCTGAACAACTCATCCTGAATTTCAGCAAGACTATTTGCCTTTTTAATCAAGGTGAAGAGGTTAAATAGTCTCTCAAATGACTTTTGCATACAACCCATAACAGCCTCGCATTGAGATAACATGATAAAAATATTTATTTCCATAGAAACAGAACCATGTCCATACCTGTTTCAGTCGTCTCCATTTAGCACGTCGATTCTGAAACCAGGTTTTCACCTGCAGAAAAGAGAGGAAGAAAATTTAGCCACGAGCCCAGAATCCCGAGGGACTTGGGGACGAGGGGAGAAGCGGATGGGGGCTGTGGAGTCAGACAGCTCTCCACCCGCTGGACAGCGCGTCGTCGGGACGTGCCAGAGCGCTCGCTGGTTCCTTGTCTCTCTTGGGCCTGGCGACCCCTGCCCCAGAAGCCTTTCCCCGGCCCCACGGGGAGCGCCCACCTGTCTCTCACTGAGCTGCAGCATCTTGGCCAGACGCTTCCTCTCGGGTGGGGAGAGGTATTTCTGGGTCTCGAACTTCTTCTCCAGCTCGATGGTCTGGTCGTTGGAGAACCTCACCTGGCCGCCTTTCCTTTTATGCAGAGGCCTCTGCAAGAAGGGGCTCCAAAGCAGGGGTTTGCCTGCGGGCAGGGAAAGCGCTGGTTAACCCTGGCGCTGGGGTGGCCCAGCCAGACCCCAGACCTGCCTGGCCCAGGGGTGACAAAGGGGGAGAGGGCATGCAGGAGGCCACCCAACCAGACAGGTTCACACACACTGATCAACACATGGGCGCAGCACGCTCCCACCAATACACACACATACCTGGAGACACGACACACACAAACACCCAAAGTCACACCCCTACACTGCATATGCACACAGACCACCCCTGCACTTACTGCCACACACAAAATCGTCACACCTATAGCTGTTTGCAAACACGCAAATCTTTTCATCCCCAAAAGAATGCCCACTATAGCCTGGGCTTAAACTACCATGACGCTCTTTCACCAGCTCTCGAATCTATACACAACTTTTTGCACCCCCAGGTCTTCCAAATACCCTGGAGTGTGCGTGCCGGGGAGGAGCGGGCCGTTACCCTGCCCAGGCCTGGCTCCCCGGGAAGCACCGGGGCCGGGCGCCCCCGCGAGGAGCCTCCAATCCTGGTCGGAGGGCGCTGCGGCCTCCTCTGATTTCACACCCGGCCCGCGGGGGCGGCCAGTTAAAGCCACCCCGTGGGCTATGGCAACATTTCCGTCAATGTGTTTCCTGTTGGTCTATCTCGAAAAACCCTTTGCTTCCTCCTGCGCGGTCCCAGCAGTAACCCAAGGAAACCCAGGGCGCGCTCTGTGAAAACGTTCGCCCCAGGCCTGGCTCGGCAGAGGGTCCCGCTCCAGCCCCAGTGGGCGATCGGAGCCATGCCAGGCCGCTGGCAGCATGAAACCCTCGAGGCTGGAATAAAACATATAACTTAAAAAAAAAAAAGAACTAAACTATAATCCCCCCTCCAATCCCTCTAACGGTGAGAAGAGAAAGGGGAGGACTGAGCTAGAAGCTGCGTCATAATAATGATGACATTAAAATGTTAATTGTCTCCAGGGTCCCTACTGAAGCCGTCAATAACAGAGTTAATTTAAAACTCTGGAGGCGCCCCGTTTCCTTATTTACCCTAGGGCTTCAGACCCCGAAGGCGCCAAGGGTCGCCTACAGCGCGGATCACGGGTGGCTTATTTGTTAGGCCGCGCACTGACGGGACAAGCCCCGCAAGTACTAAATGCCCAAAGTGTCCGCGCTTCCCTTCCTAACTGGCGCCCAGGGTCTGCAGCTTCCTGCTCCAAAGAGGTGTCGGTCCGTCCGTCCGTCCGTCCGTGCGTCCGCAGGCCTGCGCCTGACCGCTTTGAAAGCTAGCATTGTTTTTTCGAGATTTTGCTTGCGTCAGGCTTCAGACTGGTGCAAAACAGCCTCGAAAAAAAAAAAAATAGGAAGCAACTGGTTATTTTAGCTGCCATAAGTCACATCCCACACAGAGGAAATGAACAATATCAGAAAAACGGATCCCGGCTATCAGAAGTCGAGTGTTTCCTGAATTTGTCTGTATTGAGGATGTCGATAAAATAATCAGCAGCGTGCACTACTCCGGGGGAAGGGTCTGCTTCATGCAGCCAGGAAAGCACTTAACAGCTTCTGAAACCAGATTTACTCCTATCGAGAACTCAAGGTTTCCTGTATGAACGGAAAGGGTCAGGCTCTTTCACTGCACAAGCTTGTTGAACCAGGTCCAGCCCCATAACCACCCGGGCCAGGCAGCTATCCCTGCCCCGTAGGGGACGGCCCGGGGCGCCGCGACGCCCCTTCCCCGTCCCTCCCGCTACGGGGCCCCACCCGGCGACACGCGCGGCCCTCGGCCGCCAGACCCGCGACGGCGCCCGAGGTCTCCCCGGCCCGCGCGCCCGACGCCTGCAAGGTGCAGAAAAAAACCAATCTGAGTCACAGTGCGGTCAGCACCGGCCGCGCGCCGCAGGGCCAGCGCCTCCCGACCCCGCGCGCGCCCGAGAGCCGCTTTTCAATCGCTTTTGCCACAACTTTCTATTGCCTCCCCCCCCGCCCCCTCCGCCTCCCAGGCGCTGCCACCTGCCGGGTGGCGCCTTCCTCGCCGCTGCCCCGGCTCGGCCCCGCCGTGACCCCGGCCGCCTTACCCAGGGGGTCGTGGCGGAGCAGGGCGTGCGTGTAGTCGTTCACCGTCCGCGGAAAGGGGTACAGAGGGCCCCCGAAGCCGCCGGGTCCGTAAGCGGCGGCCAGCGCGGCGGCGGAGTGGTGCGAGAAGGCGGGGTGGATCGGCGTGGGCTCGTACACCGGGGGCCGGTAGGAGGACACGAGGCTGGTGAAGGAGGAGTTGGGGGACGGCAGCGTGGGGGTGGGCGTGGGCGCGGCGGGCCCCCGGCCCAGGATGTCCTCAATGTAGAACGGCGTCGGGTGCGCGGGCTGCAGCAGCGGCGTGGGCGCGTACAGCGGCACCCCAACGGCGCCCGCCGCCGCCGGCCCGGGGTGCGGGTACTGCATGGCTCCGCTGCGCTCCGGGCCTCGGAGAGCTGCCGGCCCGCGCGCGGCGCTACATTTATCCGCGCTCCGCGCTCCCGGCGATAGGCTCCGCCGGCCGCGGGGTGGGGCCGCGCTCGCTGGCCCCTTCCTGCCGCCCGGCCCTGCGGCCAATGGCGCGGGCCCCAGGAGCCGCCTCCCGCCCCCACCCCTAGCCCGCCCCGCCGGCCGAGCTCCCCGCCCCCGGGACGCACTCGCTCCCGGGCTCCGGGGACCCTGCGCCCTGGTGCCTCGGCGCGGTCGCCGCTCGGTTCCCCAGGCACCCCGGCCGGGGACGCCCTCGAGGGAAGCCCCGCGCCTCGTCCGTCGGGGGAGGCGCGCGGAAAGCAGCTGCCTGGAGCGCGGACTCGCGCCGCCTAGCCCCAGCCGGGAGGCACGTGTGCCGAACGCCCGGGGACTGTCCAGGGTGGCGGCAGCCGGCCCCAGGCGGGAAGCAGCGGGGCTCGGCGGCCGCGCCTTCGCCGACCTGAGAGGACGCTCCCTGCCTGGGGCGCTTTCTGGAGTAACGGTCGCTCTGGCTGCTTCCCCTGGCGCCTCCCGAGCTCAGAGCGGAGAGTGCCCTGCGCTCCTAGGGCTGCTCCAAGGAGAAAGATCCACGACCCTCAGCGGCGTCCCAGAGGGGGGCGGACGACCAGCGTTCAGGTGCGCCACACTCTTGGTCGCCCCACTCCATTTCATTTGGGGACCCTGGACGCAGCCACTTCCCTGGGGATGCTGGCAGAAGCCGCTCCGGACAGGAATCTAGGGGAGGCCCGGGTCCTACGGCACCGCCGAGCAAAGGCTATGCAATCTTCAATCCAACGGGAGCTGCTCCACGTCCCCTCCCTCTCCCCAGGCCCTGGGAGTCGCAGCTGCGTGGAGCCCGGCACCCGGTTTTGCACATGTTTTCTATTGAAGCTGTGGCGCTGGCTCGTGTGGCCTCGGCTCCGGGCGGCTCCACTCGCCTCCGGGGCAAGGGGGCATTTTCTTGATTGACGCCCTCCTGCGGTCGTCACACCTCGCGGTGAGCTGTTAAGGTCCTCCATTAATGGTGGAAATGGAAAGACTTCCCAGCTTTTTCTATTGAGAAATTAAAATTTACAAGTTGGAACTATTTCTGCAAAGGCAGCAGGACTGCGGTAGGAAGAGGCGTGGACTGGGAGCTGGACCGCGTGGGTTCGAGTTTCGCTTCGCACATTTTTGTTGAGCAGCTACTGTGTGACAGCAGTGAACAAGACAGATGTAGTCCCTGTTCTCACGGATGCAAGAAACAGATTTCAACACAGTGACATGTATGTGCTAGGAAGGAGATGTACATGATCTGAAACCTTATGACAAAAGGACATCACCTAGTTTGGGGACGTTAAGGAAGGGAAAATCTTCCCCAAGGGAGTGATGTTTTACAGATGAGTAGGTGTCAACAAGTCTAGGGTGAGAGGGACGAACAATCCAAGTCCAGAGACTAGCATGTGAGTATTGTTAACTAATACAACTTTGGTCAAGTCACCCTCCCTGACCTTTTCTCATCTGAAACATCTGGGACTTGGCCTAAAGTTTCCTGATCTTTTGGGAGTAGTGTCATAGGCATCTTTCAGAATCTAATGACAGACAAAAGCTACTAGCACAGACTCAGAATTATAATATGCTATCATTTGAGTTAAAGCATTGGGAGTAAGAATATATCCGTGTGTTTGCTCTATTACACAAACTATCTCAGGAAGGATAACAAAAAAGTAGTAACTTTGCCTGTCTATGCAGACGGGGTGGGGTTGGAGGGAAATAGCATACCTTTTTAATATTTGGATAATTGAACCATATGGATGTATGACCTTTGACAGTTATGTCTTTGAAGACGTGGTTGATTCTAGGTCTGGGGCAAGAAAAATACAAGGTGAGAGCTCAGAGATATCTTGTGCCAGAAACCATGAAGAGAAAACACAGACCACCACGAAAGGGTTTCCATTGGCCAAATTCAGGGTGATTTAAGCTTAAAAACTACATTATGGGTTATACTACTTTGAATATAACAATTCGCAAGTGTGTAGTATTACTGAAAGAGAGAAAGGTATGGTCTATGGGAAAGCTGGAAGAATGCCAGCTAACAGATATAGAAAAATTGATCAAATAAAAAAATACTTTATTCAAGGAAGGATCATCATTGGACACCAAAACTAATGGATGAAATGTTGAAGATGGGGATTTTCACAAAGTCTCGTAGTATCATCCCAACTAATTGGGTTCTGGATTTTAAAAATACTATAATAGATATCTTAGGGAGTATTGGGGGAAAACTAAATAGGAAGCATATGTTAGGTGACATTGTTAAATTAATCTCCTTAGCTGGGTGTGGTGGCACCTACCTGTAGTCCCAGCTACTTGGGAGGCTGAGGTGGGAGGATCATTTTAGCCCAAGAGTTGAAGGCTGCAATGAGCCTCCAGCCACTACACTCCAGCCTGGGCAACAGAGCAAAACCCTGTCTCTTAATAAAAACATTTTTTAAAAAAATTTTAAATGCTGAGTGTAGCGGTGCATACCTGTAATCCCAGCTGCTCGGGAGGCTGAGGCAGGAGGATCACTTGAGCCCAAGAGTTTGAGGCTGCAGTGAGCTGTGATGACGCCACAGCACTCTAGCCTGGGCAGCAGAGCAAGACACTATCTCAAAAAAAAAAAAATCTGTTAGATATGATATTGGTATTATAAATTATATTGGAAAATGTTCTTGGGAGATGGAAGTTAGAGTATTTAGGGGTGATGGGTCATCATATCTGCAACTTTCAAATAGTTCAATATACATACACGTGCACACACATGTATATGCATATACAAATACACGCATCTATGTATATTTACATATGTATAAATAAAGAGGGAGACAGTACAGGTTCAGTTCCAGACCACCACATTATGCCAGTATCACAGTAAAGTAAAATCACACGAATTCTTTGGTTTCCCAGTGTATCTAAAAGTTATATTTACAGTATACTGTAGTCTATAAGTGTACAATAGCATAATGTTTAAAAAATGTATTATATATACCTGAACTAAAAATGCTTAATGACTAAAAAATGCTGTCATTGAGCCTTCAGCTAGTCGTAATCATTTTGCTGACGGAGAGTCTGGCCTCAGTGTTGATGGCTGCTGACTGACCAGGGTGGTGATTGCTGCAGGTGAGGTGGCTGTGGCAGTTTCTTAAAGAAGACAACAATGAAGTTGCCATCCTTTCACAAAAGATTTATCCATAGCATGTGATGCTATTTTGTAGCATTTTACCCACATCCGAACTTATTTCCAAATTGGAGTCAGTCCTCTCAAACCCTGCTGCTTTATCAACTAAGTTATGTAATATTCCAAATCCTTTGTTACGATTTCAACAATGTTCACAGCATCTTCACCAGAAGTAGATTCCATCTCAAGAAACCACTTTCCTTTTTTTTATTTTTTATTTTTTATTTTTTGAGACAGAGTCTCACTTTGTGGCCCGGGCTAGAATGCCGTGGCATCAGCCTAGCTTACAGCAACCTCAAATTCCTGGGCTCAAGCGATACTTCTGCCTCAGCCTCCTGAGTAGCTGGTACTGCAGGCATGTGCCACCATACCTGGCTAATTTTATTAGCTATATATTTTTAGTTGGCCAATTAATTTCTTTCTATTTTTAGTAGAGATGGGGGTCTCTCTCTTGCTCAGGCTGGTTTTGAACTCCTGATCTTGAGTGATCCGCCCGCCTCAACCTCCCAGAGCGCTAGGATTACAGGCGTGAGCCACCGCACCTGGCCAAGAAACCACTTTCTTCGTTCATCTATAAGAAGCAATTCCTGGCCAGGCGCAATGGCTCACACCTATAATCCTAGCACTTTGGGAGGGCAAGGAGGGAGGATTGCTTGAGGTCAGGACTTCAAGACCGCCCTGAGCAAGAGCAAGACACCATCTCTACAAAAATTAAAAAAAATTAGCCAGGTGTGGTGGCACATACCTGTAGTCCCAGCTACTTGAAGTTGTAGTAAGCTATGATGATGCCATTGCAGTCTAGCCTGGGCAACAGAGTGAGACCTTATCTCAAAAAAAAAAAGAATTTGTCATCCATTCAATTTTTATTTGTTTTTTTTTTTTGTTGTTGTTGTTTTTTTTAGGGAGAGTCTTACTCTATAACCCGGGCTAGAATGCCATGGTATCAGCCTAGCTCACAGCAACCTCAAACTTCTGAGGTCAAGCAATCCTCCTGCGTCAGCCTCCCAAGTAGCTAGAACTACAGGCACGTGCCACCACACCCAGCTAATTTTTTCTATTTTTAGTTGTTTGGCTAATTTTCTATTTATAGTAGAGACGGGATCTCCTTCTTGCTCAGGCTGGTCGAACTCCTGAGCTCGAACTCCTGAGCTCAAGCATTCCTCCCACCTCAGCCTCTCAGAGTGCTAGGATTACAGGCGTGAGCCACCTCACCCAGCCCCATTCAAATTTTTATCACGAGATTACAGCAATTCAGTCACATCTTCAGGTCACTATTTCCGCCACATCTGCAGTTAGTTCTTTCAGTGAAGGATTGAACCCCTCAGAACCATCCATGAGGGCTAGAATCAACTTCTTCCAAACTCTTGCCAATGATGATATTGTGACCTCCTTCCATGAATCATGAATGTTCTTAATGGCATCTAGAATGGTGACTTTTTTCTAGAAGGTTTTCAATTGACTTTGCCCACATCCGTCAGAGGAATCACTATGTATGGTAGCTACAGCCTTACAAAAATGTATTTCTAAGACTTGAAAGTCAAAATTACTCCTTGATCCGGGGGCTGCAGAATGAATAGTGTATTATCAGGTGTGAAAACGACATTCATTTCCTTGTACATCTCCATCAGAGATCTTGGGTGATCAGGTGCATTGTCAATTAGCAATAATATTTTAAAATGAGTCTTTTTTTCTAAACAGTTAAGTCTCAACAGTGGGCTTAAATGATTCAGTGAACCCTGCTATAAACAGATGTGCTGTCATCCCGGCTTTGTTGTTCCATTTGTAGAGCACAGGCAGAGTAGATTTAGCATAAT